TTTAACTTGGTCTTTCTTATTGAGAGTTTAGTGAAAATTTATTTTTATTTATTACGGAAATAAACAATTTTTACATTGCTGGAGATGTCCAGATTCAGTGTGATGCCTTAGTTTAAGTGAATTAGCTTAAAATCACACATTCTGTTAAACTGGTGAAACATAGTGTATAAATCAGACCTAAGTAAATCTTACTGAAAGCTTATCTTTATCTCAGTTGGCATGGAGAGGCTAACAACTCTCACTGAAGAAATATGTCACCCACAGATCCCCACACTGGGGAAACCTAGGAAGCTTTGTCTTGGGCAAACATCGCTTTACTCAGTGGAAGTAAGTTACTTCCTCAGTGGGTTGCTGTAAAAAAGAGAGGTTTCTACAGCCTTCTTACAGTGTGGGATGGTATCAGAGAAGGTATCTACTTAGCAGGAAAACAAGAATATAAGGAGCCCTTTGACTTGTATCCTGTGAACTCTGTTACTGAGTGTGCTGTTTCTCTCTTCCTTCACAACTTAACCTCCACATATTTTGCTAGGTCCTAACACAGCCGAGCTGCATCACTATTTTGTCACAATCTTGCATACCATAAATTCAGAAGTTTTTAAACCAGAAGGTTTAACTTCCAGGAAGAGAGGAAGAACATTGATTTTTTTTTTCCTGGAAATACAAAACTAGTTCTGCAGCTAACTCTGAGGTTTGCTTTCAACAAAAAACCTGAGCTATGTACAACTGCAGAAAAGCTCAGACATGTACTTGCCCAGCTGAAGAGATAATTCTTAGAAAATCCATAGCTTTCTAGCCTACTTTAAAACATATGAGTTTTATCCGAACAACATTTCAAAGTACGTGAAAAACATGATTTCATATTTTGTTACTCCTACTTCTGTTCAGACCTCTTCACTGCAGCAAAAACTCATTACTTTTTTCCACTGCCTTCACAAAGTCTCATTCCAGCTCTAGACATGACTTCACAGGAATCAAGACCCATAGAAGTCAGATTTAAAAAGAAACAACAGCTCTTCAATAGCATGTCTCCTTTGAAAGGGGGAGAAGAGGAACATATATTTTCTTCAGGACAGATTCTGTAAACTGTGTCAAATTTGGCCGAGTGCCCCCACAGGTCATTGTAACTCTATGCTTCACATTTCTGTGAGGATGCAAAGTCATCATGTAACTGAAGAAATTCTCAGCTCTGAACTTTTATAACACTGTGGATTCTCTGGAAGAGAAAACGTTGGTCCTGATCAAAAGAGACTGCTATTTGCCTAAAAATGTGCATTTCATTACATTGCATCAAATGCATTTTTAAGTAAATTGATGCAAACTTTGATATGAAATTTCATAACAAAAATAACAAAACCTTTAATTCTGTGTTCATCATTGTAGTACCACCCTTATGTAAGTGTGACTGCAATAGACTACTACAATTCAGAACATTATAAATTCCTGATTCAGATTTATCATCTGTTTGTGAGGTTTTGAAATATTTTAAACAGTTTTCTTACAGTGGTTTATATTTCAGCGAACATTGCTTTACAGTTATGCTTAACAATCATTCTCTTTTTCATTTTCTGTGCATATCTACATACCAGTTCATTTCTGGACGGTGAGTTCTATAAAGAAAATCTCCATTTCAAAAATGATATAAATTTCTCTTTGTGTTAGAGGTCCCTAGTTATTCTTCCAGTAACAAAACTGATCAGCTATAGTCAGACTCTTCCAAACAATCACAACCAAACAATGATGAGGATATTTCTTTAAAAAGTCTATAAATATGATCTTTAAATTTCATTATTCTAAACTACATAGCAGTTAGTTACCATAATCATGGAAACAATTATCATTGTAAGCATTTTGTCATATATTCAAAATTATTCTTCCACCTATGCTAGACAAAACTCTCAGAATAGAAAACCACAACCATCTATTTGATGGGTAAGGAATTACCTGTAGAGCCTTATCCAAATTGTTGCATGCAACAGCTCAACATCTAAATGGAGATCAATAATAAGTGGTGTCCCTCAGGGGTCCACACTGGGGCTGGTCCTGTTCAATATGTTAATGACACAGGCAAGTAGGATTGAGCGCATCCTCGGTGAGTTTGTGGATGACACCAAGCAAAGTGGTGCGTTGATTCACTAGAGGCAAAGGATGTGATCCAGGGGGACCTGGAAAAGCTTGAACAGTGATCCAATGTGAACCTCATGAGGTTCAACAAGGCCAAGTGAAAGGTCCTGCACCTGCATCAGGGCAAATCTCACTATCAATACAGACTTGGGAATGAAGGGATTGAGAGCAGCCCTACCGAGAAGGATTTGGGGATACTGGTGGATGAAAAATTGGACATAATCTGGTAATATGCACTTACATCCCAGAAAGCCAACCATATCCTGGGCTGCAACAAAAGTAGCGTGGTCAGCAGGTCGAGGGAGCGGATTCTGCTCCTTTACTTTGCTCTGATGAGAGCCCAGCTGGAGTCCTGCATCCAGCTCTGGAGTTCCCAGCAGAAGACAGACATGAATCTGTTAGAGCAGGTCTAAAGGAGACCTGGTCAGAGGGGAACACATCTCCTATGAAGAAAGACTGAGAGAGCTGGGGTTCTTCAGCCTGGAGAAGGGAATGCTATGGGATGACCTTATTGCAGCCTCTCAGTACACAAAGGCAGCTTTTGAGAAAGCTGGAGAGAGAATTTTTACAAGAGTCTTTACAACAGGACGTGGTGTAACAGTTTTAAATTAATAGGATAGACTTAGATTAGATGTAAGGAAAATGTTTGGGATTTTTATTATGAGGGTGGTGAGACACTGGAGCAGGTTGCCCCAAGAAGTTGTGGATCCCCGTCAACGAAAGTGTTCAAGGTCAGGTTGTACAAGGCTTTGAGCAATCTGATATAGTGAAAGATGTCCCTGCCTGTGGTATGAGGGTTGGAGCTAGGTGATCTTTTAAGGTGCCTTTCAAACTGAAACCATTTTGTGACTCTATCATCTTACACATCAGCCTACTAAATTAATTACATTTAAAATATCACATTCAAATCTCTCTCAATCCCTTTACGTATCTACTTTCCCAAACAATGATAGGTCAGAAATTATCTTAATTATGCTTTGGTCTTGTGAAATTGAACTGAAGATTTCATTAAGTCCTTTTTTCTAGCTGAAATTACGTATAGGAGAGCATATCTTTGGAACTGATTTTTGTGTGTATGTGTGTGTATGCACACGTATGTGTAACAGAAAGAATTAAACTCTAACTTTTACTCAGAATAGAGCAGAAAACTAATTTGATACACATTTTGTTTCAGATTTACGTTATTTGAATATAGATAGAGGTCAGACAGAAACTTGCAAAGACTCACTGCCTCCCTCCCAGTGGCATAATGGACTATTTCAGATAATGTTTTGCTTGTCAGTAGGAGATTCTTTGGGAAAACATAACAGCATTTTTCACCATCATAGCTAGGACAGTATTTCTGGGTCTGTTACAATGGCAGAAACATTGATTTACCAAAGCTATTATGTTATTCCCAAAGGTGCTATACAAAAAAGCGGTAGATATATGGATCCTGGAGGGGCACCTCAGGTACATAGTAATAAAATCCCTCTAAAGTAAACCACATAAAGGGGAATGTGAAGAAAACACTTCTTTGATCTTCTGGTTTAGGGTGGAAATTATAAAAAACATGTAAATAGTTCCTATAAGCCTGGGGGAGCAAGATAAAGTAATATATATTCTATACTAAGTTGAGATGAAAAGTCAATTTCCCCCATGTCACATATCACAGTTTTCTGAATTTATTTCTACAAAAAGACTTTGTTAATGCTTTAGCTGACTTCAAGAGATTTTTAAAGAATGGGAAACCATCAGTCCTTTGCAAGCAGTTTACTGGCTAAGTGTTCAAATACCAATGAGTTAGAGAGGGAGCCAGTTCATTTCTCAGATCTCATTTTGGAACATAATAATTTCTGTTAAAAATTGCTTTTATTAAAAAAAAAGAGAACTGTGTTCAGTTACGGTGATAATCTGGATGCCATATGATATTATAAACATCTAAGATCTATAAACTTCGCTATATTTTCTTCCAATAATCCACATTCGGTAAACCACTTTATTCTACTATTAGCCCAAGACCACTTGTGGAAGGATGAAAATAATCAAACTATAAAATGGTGAAAAGGTCAGTGTAGCCTTAGTTACTATATATCAAACTATACTAGCTCTGTTTTCATATTGTTGGAGCAAGAAGTGCTATTAGAAGAAGAATTTACAAATGGACCTTTACTTGATACGGGAATGTAGCAACACAGATTTAAAATTACTTTAGAGGAAAGAGAAATATCCTTGAAATTTTCACCAGCAGCACAACTTCCTCTATTGTTGAATTTTCCCAGTGTGATGAATCTGAAAGTAAGAAGATCTTTAGAATTTTAGTTCAGGCTATTTTATTTTAACAAATCTGACAAAATGCTAATTGTAGATAGGTAAATTCCATTTTTACTACATTACTACAGAGAAACAGACAGCTTCTGATGAGTCATCACTAGACAAAGTATTTTGTCATAGTTTAACTTGTTTTTAAAAAGTTACTCCAAAAAAGTTTCTGTTTACGTTACCCTATCCCTAACTGTTTACATCAAAATCTAAACACAGAAAGTTTTTCAAATACAGTACATAATTGACAATGTTCTACCGTCTTTGTGTGTGATTTCACAGTGATTTGTTTTTTCCTGAGAACAAAAAAAGGGTACCGTTTCATAACGCTTGATTGCAAAATGAGAGAGAGAAGTGTGAAATTATTTTTAATGGAACTCACTTATCATTTTTCAGGAAGTACTTACCCATGATTATATTTGTATTTCAACAATACTGAAGTTTCTACCTTGATTGTGACTCAGTGTCTAATTAAATCCAAGACAACAAATGTCTTTCAGTGAGATTAGGGTTATTATTTTTTATGTGCCATGACATTTTGATTTATGTTTTAGAAAACCCCGTGGTGTTCCACTTACCTAAAATCTTGCCAAGTGTGAGAGACTTGATTGCATTGAATTCTGTGCCTGAAGAAAGAATAAACTTCATTCTTTCCTTCTGGTTGACCTGCAGAAAGGTTTAGTGAAGAACAGTGTAAAATTATGGAAGAGATATTAGTCAAAGTTTGCAAAAAAAAAGGTAAGATCAAGGTTAAAAGTAAAAGGAGCTGAGGAAAGCATTTGTAAGTTTTGGCATAAAAACCAATCAGGAAACAGATGATCAGCTTCCTCAGATCACTGATTATAGCTGAGATACTTCTTAAGCATCCCATTTATAAGCCTTTATTTATCTTAATGATTTGGCTGATTCCTGTTTTTTCATCTATAAGATGAATAAAAATGCTAAATCTTCAAACACATGAAAAAGGATCTTTTCATTAAAAAGGGCACTCAACTGTAAGTTCATAAAGATCAGATATTATACTGTAAATGCTCTGACCTCCAGGGTACCTCTAGAAATACTCATCTTCAAGCCTTGTACCACCACATAATTAAGCAAACTCAGCTCAGGCCTCAAAATACTAACTTGTAACATCCAGGGTTTTTAAACACTAATTTAAAAAATAAAGACTTCTTTACTTTCTAGTATCTACTATTAGCAAATCAAATATTTCTGAATTATAATCAAATTTACACAAAAAATAACAAAAAATCTTTTCCTTAATAGTCACGTTCCTTTGATGTAAAAGGGACTGAAGAAAAGTAGACAAATAGGCTTAAATTATTACATAGATGGTAATACATTTGTACTGTAGTTTGATACATAATTTAAAACAAAAAACAAAATGCAAAATCCAAACCCCAAAACAAATGACAGTAGTCATACACTTTTCACAAACTGTGAAAATCTAATCATCAAGCTATTCACTGTATATTCATATAAAATGATGGGTAGGTAGTGACCTTTTAAAAGAAACAAGATGAACATCAGAGAGATTGTCTAACGTAGACTTGCACTATGCATCATGAGTCTGATAACTTTTGCTTAATTTACTTGAGATATTAAAACACTGTTTATTTGGGGGTAATTGCCTTGTTGCAACTATTTACTTCATTTTGCTTTGGATCTTCTGTGTTTTTATGATAAACCATTTTGGATTTTGTCTAACTGAATTACCTCTACAAAGAGCATTTCCTCCTCTCTGTTAACCATCACATGTTGCAGTTGTCCATCAGCCATGCTTTTGATATTGATGCTGAAGACATCAGGATCTTGATGGCTATTTAGCTTGTATCTGATCTGTAAACTTCCTGCAGGTATAAATAGAGCACAAGATATAGTATACTACACACACAACAGGCAGTGTAGATCATATAAAATGCTTCCCGCTTCACAGGTGCATTTGAAGAGCAAAACAAATATTTAATTTATTTAAGGAATTAAGTACGAGATACTGACGTAAGTGAGAAATGAAAGAAGACAACAGGAAAAGTAAAAGCAATGCTGGAACCAGGAAGCAGTGGCAAAGATAGCCACAAACTGTCACATATCTGAACATTGTGTTAAAATTTGTGCAGAAATTTTAGTAAGTACTTTAATAATTCAGCTGAGAAAGACTTGGTCTGGTAGCTCGTATCAATGTGACATACAGAATAAAACTCAGCACCTTACAAGTACTGTTCTTCAGCAATGTTTACACCATCCAGACCTGCAAACCTCTGACCAGATGACAATTCGGTAGGATGCAGTTAATAATTTCTGGCTCACTTTCCATTTCTTCTTGTTAACTCCTGGCATATTGTCTGTACTCATCACACAGAGACTCCTTCACAGCAGAACACAGAGGCAGTGTGGTTTCTTTGTCAGATTCCCTTCCAGCTGTAGATGAACTACACCTTTTTACTCATCCTTTGGACAGCAAGGCCCAGGCCAGAGCCAGGCCAGTCATGAGTGAAATATGTTCCACCTCACATGACTGGGAGGATACTAGTTATTCTGCAACAAAATCTGTAAGCAGGAAAGTACAGAACCTTCTCTGAGCACAGAACCACTGTGACTCCAAAATGTCTTTGATAAACTCAAAGATTCAACTCAGTCTATGGAGTTTTCTAACTAAAAAATAAAATCTAGATGTAGAAGAAAAAATGAAAAAGAAAGATCCAAGTAACTTTTAATGTTCACTTAAACAGAAACATCAGTTGTATTATGTGTATTTTCACCCGTGTGTGCATGTATTTTCATGGGTGTATAAGTAGCTTATGAAATTAGCTGAAGAAAATGACCTGATTAATTTGGAAAATGGATAATGCACTTTCAAAGGTAGTTTTTTTCATTATGTATAGGATGGAAATTAATATGTCACATGAGTAGCAGAGAGATCACACACATTTTGAATTTCATTTCAAAACTTGAAAAATAATTGAATATGAAATATTTTACTGCATTTCTAAAGGATTTCCAGAAACAAATATTTTTGGCAACACGAAACAAACCTGGTAATAAAAGTTGAAATTACAGAAGGAGGAACATTTTTCTTGTGGAAAGCATTGCTTGCTGCAGCTGAAACATAAATATAACGTTTAAAGAAACAACAGGACAATGCTTACTTCACTATTCAGGTCTGGGAATCAGAGCGAATCTGAGTTGGCAGCTATGTTGTTCATTAGTGTTTCTAGATGGCCTATCTCAACACTCACCATTTCTGGCGAGGATGACTGAGAGGTATTCCTTGTAGAAGGAGCTGACATAAAGCAGTAAGCTTGGTGTCCGTGTTGTTCGGAAGGCAAACGTAATTGCTTCCTTGTTCAGCGTCATGTCAGCATAGAAAGAAGAAGCATGAGAACTAGAATTTTTAGCTAAGGTGTAATATTCTTGAAAATTGTATGTCACGGATGTGCCAGTCCCAAAATAGGCAGAGATCTCTGAAACAAAAAGTAATTCACTTTTTAATTATCATGCAAAACAGGACTAAAACTCTTTTTTTAAAAAACTTCTGCCACAGAGCAGAACAAAATTTATTCTTAACCATTGAGATAAAGCTGAAAAAGAAATATAAATGGAACTAGTATTTAGAACTACAGAGAAAAATAAAACCTAATCTGGGCTAGACCAAAATCCCAGTTAGACATGTGTCTTAAATATCTATTGCATGAAGAACTGCTTCTCTTTGTCTAGTTTTAAACATTTTTTCTGCTTTTTCACTGTTTTTCCATGTGCTTCAGGCCAGTATGTTCTGTCTTGTATGCATACTGCTCCTACAGAGAGAAAGGGGCAGCAGTTTGAATCTTAACATATTAGTTAAATTTGGCCACACCTGAAACACAGAAGTTTGAAAAGACACTGGTCAGGTGGGAGAAAGAAAAGGAGAATACAAACTAGATTATGATTTTCTTGTGGATTAATTACTCATGGGGAGTTCTGTATCTCTGTAATATCTCATAGCCATTTTCCGCTAAATGTAACTGTCTTAGACTATCCTGTTTTCACATACAACGTCCACACTTTGGAAAATTTCTGAAAATTTCTGTCATCTCGCTCAGTATCTTTGACAAAGTAAAATACAAATATTTTGGAAGCATTTAAACATATCTTTAAAGGGCTGTGAATATCTTGGTCTGGACTGTATGGCCCTGTTTTCAATAAATGATAAAGTTAATAGACATGCTTGCCTTTCTTACAGAATGGCCCAGCATAGGCAGAGAAAGTGCAGTCACAGGAGAATCCACTGTATTTCTCTCTACATTTTCCACCATTGTGACACAGGTTACCATAGCTGCTACAATGTCCAGGGCAGCCTGGTTCAACTTCTGGTGTTATCTTTGCTCTCTCTTCCAGGTCAAGTGCCTTTCCATTCAACTGTAATGAACGAATGCATCCCAAAAATCCTTTCTGCCTGGATGCTGTCCCACCTGAAATAAATTCACATGAGCTATTAAAATTTTAAAATAACTGATGTGTAAAAACCTCCTTATGTTTTACAGCGCCTGAACAGTCTACTATAAATTTCCAAGATACAAGCCTATGCATGTGAAAATATTTATAAATAGCTTTAAAAGCATATCTGATTTTTTTTTGTCACGTAATTACACAAAACCCTTGAAGATTTTAATGGGAAATAAGATTTTGCACAGTAAGATACCAAGCAGTGATGCATACTTTGATTAATTCACCAAGGAGTAACATTCAGTAATTATGCGGTTTTCTTTTTTTTCTTTATGAAAGAGA